GACTGTGAGCGCGATCCAGGCGACCGCGGGAGCCCTACGGGTGGGCAGAGGCGCTGCCTCTCTTCCCTAAGTCGTGGGGAGGCATTAATTTCTCTGGTTCTTCTGTAATACCAAGGTTGGGCACGTCACCCTCCCCCTCCTCCTTCATCATCAGGCTTTTGCTGACGGTCTTGTTTGGGGGGGGGAGAGCGCGCGGGGCGGGAGCGGCCGATTTCGGCCCCTCCCCACTTTTTTCGTTTTTCCAATTTTGATCATCATCATCACCCTCGGGAAATGATCCTGATACTACCGACAGAGAATTGAATAGTGCCACATCTACGTGATCCACCGAACCATCTGAAAGCGTTTAAAAGCAGCCGAGTCCTCAGTCCCTGCTGAAGCGTCTCTTCTCCCCCAGTCCTTTTATGTTTCCCCACACTTATTTTATTGACACGCTTTCATAATTATCGAGGGGAGGGGTTGGACGCCCCGCCACATCTTCCTAAAATCCAAAGTCCTGTTCAGGAGGAGGAGGAGGAGGAGACGACGGAAAGAGCAACCAGGTTAGTGGTGACTTGTCGAAAGCGTTGCGACTAGAAATTGCCTCATCTTCTGTGTTCAAAAAGGGAAATGTGCATACGTATGTTATATTAGAATTCTTTGTCTAAGTACGGATGCTTAAGCGTTAATGGTGACATGCAGACGCTACTGTGTGGAAAATAATTCTTGCTAGCTTCACATGTGGATTCTTAAAACAAAGCCCTTTCTGCTGTACTTATCTTTGGATGGAAGAAGAGTGTCTGCTGCATAGAAAATACTTTGTCTTGCACTGTGCTGCTTTAAAATATGTTTGTAATGAAATGAGTATGTCTGAAACCATTACTTTCCCCTTCAGGTTTGTAGTTTTGTGCCTGGTAAATCTGCCTTTTCTTTCTTTAATTTAGATTTTGTATACAATAATATTTTGAATGCAAGTTTTTGCTAAATCAGTTGAAAAGATTTTTATCTCATTAGATTCATATCACATATTCATGAGATGTAGGTTTCAGTTTAGGCCAGTTTGAATGCTCCCTTAAGATCTTAATCAAATCTAAACCTTAGATTGTATATTTAACATTTTGAACATATAAGCTTTGTATCTTTTTCTTCAGCTGGGCCTTAAAGGTAGAAAGCTAACCTGGATTCTTTTCATTTTTTTCTTTTTTTCTAGATACTGGTGATGCCAGGTACAGTCTTTTGTAGGGGCCCTGTTTTGAAGAAGAGGAAATACAAGGAGTTTGTGTGCTTTGAACGCTTAGTCTTCTAAGCTTAATATTCTTCTTTCCTTTGTTTATTCTCCTTTCTATGGAAAGAATTGGAGGATTAAACCCCAAAACCAAATTACTTTAGTCATCAGAACAACAGTTAGGTGTGGACCATCAGGGTACCAGGCAAAAACAATTCCCATGACACCTTTCTTCTTTTGGAGGCTCAATGACCAAGCCATTCTTGAAGAGTCAAAAGGCACTGAGAGGACTTGATTATTCTCCAAGTGGGTGGTAAAAGGGAGAGGGGAAAAAAAAAGAAAGTTCCAGAAATAACTCTCCTCAGAAAGGAAGGCAGAAGCAACAGTTCATAAGCATTGCTGCTTTTCCCACCTCTGTCTGGTAAGTTATACCATGATTATTTATTCATTTCTCTCATGCCACCCTTGCCTTATGATTAGGTGAAGAAATATTGCTAAAGATTGTAAACCTAGCAAGGGAAAGAGGAGGAGGAGCTCTGAGAATGCTCTTATACAGTAATAATTTGGAATTTGGGTTATGTAGTGTAGATGTACCAATTGCTTCTCTGTCCTGAGTAGGCATCTCAACAAAAAGAAGGCACACTTACAGAATGTAGAGGGACTTCCTTAATATCATAAATGAAGTAAAAATGGAGTTGTTCTTTCTGATGTGTGGAATTATGGGAAAGAATTTAAAGGGAATTTGCTCCATAGGTAGCTGAAAGTAATTGACTGGGTTTTCCCTTATGGACAAGAGAGCACAATGCAGAAAAAGTTAAAGATGTTACAGTTGGCTGAACAGAGTGTAGAAGAAATATTCCCTCTTCTCCAGGCTGTGGCGTCCTTTGCAAATAAAAGAGAAGCAAAGGAGGTGTGTTAGTTAGATTGATGCAGTCAAAAAGTGTGTGCTTGATCACCTGGTTTCTGTGGTTATTTCTATAAAAGAAATGTAGGGAATTGATGACTGGCTAATGTTTATGTTGCCTTTTTGTGATGAAATTTAATTTAAAACTTCACTTACACAGGTACATGAAATGTAAAGGGAGACAGATTAATACAAAATAAATCAGAACTAATAAAGTAAATCAATATTTTTAGATCAATTGAACTTTCATTTTGTAAATTCCAAATAATTCTGTTTATATAGAACACAGAACAACATTTTCAATCAATATGTAAGTCTTATATAGTTTATACCAACTCTGCATTGATTCTTTTCACCTATCGATTTTGTAATGTTTGTGGCGGCCTTTTAAATAAATGCTTATGAGTAACATACTATGATTTTAATCTACTATAGCGCAGAGAATATTTATGATTCCCTAACATGGCAGTTGACCTTTTTGATTTTTTTTCCATATGTCGTTCTCTCAGATTAAATCAAAAACTGACCTTCATCCTGTCATACAATAAAGGAATGCACCTACCTGATTATCATACTTTTCCTCAGGGCATAAATATTTCAGTTGATTAAATTCTCCCCAGAGAAGGAAGCACTATCATGTTTAGATAATGTTTGACTGTATCAATATATCTTGCTTTATAAAAGCCACTGTTACACAGATTGAGGGATGGTCAAAGCAGCCACAGGTTCTCATTTCTCTCATTACATTTTATAGGGGATACACTATTTGATGAAATTGTAAAATGTAGTCTAAGAGGCAATTGAGAAAATAACAGGATGTATTTTCTCCCTAACATTAATGGTATATTTATATATACATTTGCTTTGTATATAGACTATCTTCAAGTTAGAATCATCACCAGTTAAATTGATCAGATGCAGCTGATGGAAAAGCCCTCAGTTGGAGGCCTTGGAGTAGCACTATGAATAAATACCATGGCCTTGGTATTGTGGATACTCTATTGCACAGAGTCAGTTTTCAAGGCTTGCTATAATATATAGGGCCTTTTCTTCTGCCTATTGGAGCAATGGATATTTTCCTATTTCCCTAGAAATCCCAGTATCAACTTACTCAGGAAGCCTTATGATATAACTTTCTTACCTTGATTAAATGTGGTATCTTGATGGTGACTTGTTGTAATTGAGTTAGATAAATGTGTTGCTTCTGCCCATTGTACTTGGGGTGGTAATTTTCCAAATAGTTTATTCTATTATTTGCTTTCCATTTCCACAATATATATCTGGAAACTTATTTTAAAAAGCTTTCACACTGGGCTAGTTTTGATAGGCACTGTGTAATCCTAGATTAGAGTCTGGCCCAAGTGTTAGGCAAAACAACTTTTTTTTTTTTCTTACATTGTTTGCTTTTTCAGGTCTTTCCAAAGAAATCCAGGATTAAGGCTCAGCTACCTTGTGCTATAGATCTCATATCAAATAGTAAAATGTTCTACAAGCCAGGTGGTAAAAAAGAGTTTTATTCATAGTTCTTGCATAAATTTAAAGTTTTTAAGGCTAAAATACACATAGGGTATAGCTGTTGTTTTCTAATGTAGAACTAGTATACTTTGATATTTACAGGAAGAGGTCCATGTAAAATCTGTAGCCTGCTTAGTGCAAACTCTAAAATGTAGACAAAGCAAGCTAAATCAGAAAAAAAAGCCTTCCTCTTCTTGTTAGTTAAAAGGAGCTGAAAAATGACTTCACACTGTTTATTGGCTTGGTTACTTTAATGTGGATCAATTAGATTAATTTATTATATATAATATACATTATATCTTATAAAAGTAGAATGATATAATTATATCTATCTTATAAATTAATATAGGTTTAAAAATGTAAAAGTAACAGGCTTCTAGCTTTCATTAAGATAATGGGTTAATCATGTATTATATGATGCTGTGCTAAAAAGGATTGCATTGCAAGAAGTACTGGTCACCTGAGCTTTGAGGAGCTTTGAATTTAACTTTCTCTGCATAGATGTAATCCATGTTCCAAATTATTATTGTACTAGACACAGAATTATACTGTGCACCCTTGATCACATCCTTATAATCTAAGTCTTGATTTGAGAGCATCAGTAGTCTGGATTTTAATTCCCACTTATCTCTATATATAAGGAACACTGACAGATCTGGGACAGAATTTCTGTTAAGTGAGCTTCATAGTTGGTATTAAAGTTCCTTAATTGGCACACTTACAAATATGACCTGTGCCAATTAAGGAACTTCAAATAATGTGAAAATAATACTGTTGCAATGTCACCCAAAAATGGTTATCTAGATTCATAGACTCATAGAATTGTAGAGTTGGAAGGGATCACAAAGATCATCTAGTGCAACTCTCTGGAATATACAGGAAAAACATTCATGAAAAGTCGCTGCCTAGCCTCTTCCTCAAAATCTCCTAAGGTGGAGAACCCACAAACCATAAGGTAGACTGTTCCACCGTTGTAGAGATCTTCCCATCTATGTATAGGAATTAGCAAAATATTAAATGACATTAATGTTTGAAATCCATTGAGTGACAAGAGCCCATTCCTGTGGGCTGGGAAACATGGCAAAAGTAACATCTCTATGATTTTGTTCATATCTGTATTTCATATTTTAAGATATCAAAAACACTGTTTCAAGGATTGGGAACCTTTAAAGAGGCAGGCATCATCATAATTTATGCGATGTCAAGTGTACTCAAAAATAAAAGAAACCTTTATTTTACATTTTTAAATTAAAAACTCTGAAATCTTGATCTCTTATACAAGTGGATTTTGTGAAATTTGGGTACCTTATAAAATTTTGACCATCTTTAATTTTTAATTTGACATTACGTAGCACTTTTTCTGTATTTGTTTTTCCTATAATGCAGCAAGCATACTAGAGGTGGCAGCTCCAACCACACTTTGTTTGTGACCCTGAATCTCTTCTTTATACACTCATACTCCTTCTGAAGTCATAATGCCAGAGTTTGGAAATAAACAACCAAATAACTAAGTGACTTCTCACCTGCTTTTGGTGAAAAATAAAAAAGAATGGTATGATAGGTCTGGCAGGCTTAGCACACCTAGAAATTGTTTTTATGTATTTATTATTTTTAATTGTTGTACGCCACCCAGAGTCACCTTGTGTCAGATGGGCGGCTATATAAATATGATAAATAAATAAATATGATAAATAAATAAATGTGAAACTGCCCAAAGCAGCTCAGCAGATATTCCCAGCCTAGTCCCTCTAATGGTTGTTAACTATTGTCCCATAAACTGCACACTGCAGCCTTAGACTACTTTTAAAAAAGAATTATAAAAATTGCAGTCCCTAACCACCCAAAGATTGTCTACCTCTATTGTACAGTTCCCCCTGCCCCCCGAAGATAGGCTAAATCTGAATCCTGGAATGTAGTCTGTTATTGTTATCAAAACAAATAAATTGACATAAAATCTTAACAGATTCAAAGGTCTCACAAGGAAGTAAACAAAAATGATAGCTAGCAAAGTTGTGATATGGAGTATATAAGTAAGCATGTATAGAGCATTAGATCTAGCAACAGAGGCAGATCTAAAAGAATAACAGTTGCTGGATCAGCACCAGGGAGATGCTTGTAAAGGAGTTCAAGTGGCATAAATGGAATAGTGGCAGAACAGATGGAAGAGTGCTTTGTGCATGAGTAAGCCAAGAAAAGAATGAAAGCTTTGTCACTTGTCTCTTCATTTTCCTGTCTTGCATGAACAGTATACAGGTTCTTTTATGTGTCTTCATAAATACACAGTTGATGAAAATGAGAGCTGAACTAGTAACTTTTAGGATTACACCAAATTTTAGCTATTTATTTATTCAATTTATATGGCCGCCCATCTCTTTTTACATATATAATTTTATTAAATTTTGATTATAATAGTAAAAACTAATATAAACTAAACTTAAAGAGAAGAAGAATAAAAAATGCAAGAAAAAGAGAGAAAAGTGAGAATATAATAGAGAAAAATATATAAAGAAGTGACTTCCAACCTTCTTCACAACAAGTATAAACAAATTTAGTGGCTCTCCACCCCCTGTAAGGTTAAAAACAAATATCTCTTCATCCCATATCCCATCCCTTATTTATAGACAAAGCCATAAAGCATCAACTTTTCAGTCCAGACATCAGCAAAAAGTCCATAAAGGGTTGCCAGCTTTGTAACAACATGTCTTATTTTAACCTTCATCAAATAAACCAACTTTATATTCCTTCCTTTTACTTCTAATAGTCTTAATCTTTAGTTAATTCAAATATTGGCATAGGATTTGATTTCTCTCCAATTCTTTGTTCCATCGCAAAAATTTCTTCAAGGCTTTAACAAGCCTCTTTTGTAAATCCAACAAGAAAAAATCATCCAGGTTTGTCATATGTATTTCCCTTTTGATTTTTAAAACAACATCAGCCAGTTTCTTTTTATATCCAGTAAAGCACCCTTTTCCAAGTCGTTCTCTTGGTCTTTCATTTGTAAATCCACTTTCCATGCCTTATCACTTATCAGACAAAATTTGTTCCACATCTGTCACTTCTTTAATATTATCTTTTGGACATAGTCTATTTATAGAGGCAGACATCATTACTGACACTGATGATATTGTGGCTACTAATTTCTGACTCCGTTCTTCAAAAGTCTCCTTTAATGTTTTCAGTGTTACAGTGTTTTGCATCATTTGCAAGTCCCAGTAAATAAAAGCAGACTGGTATTTTTTTTCCTCTGCTGAGGAACTTCAGTCCCCTCTAGTGTGCAGTTTCTAAAATCATAAAATTACTTTGTTATGTCTTGCAATAATCAAAACAAATCTGTTTCTCACGAGAAGCTGATTATTCTTTATAATTAATTCCAAAATCTTACAGTAAAAGTCAATGTTCCAAATTTATTTGGACCCTTAATCCATTTACAACTTTTTAAAAATCTTATTTTAAAAATCTTATTTAGCTTTTTGCTGTTTATTTCAAATTCTTTAAGTTCTTAAGCTTATAA